AATCCGTAGCGCCCATACGGATTTTGGCACGGAAAATCGTACCCCGGAACCTCTCTAATGTCATGGTAGAATCAGCGCAGAAAGTGTAGATGTAGATCTACATGGTGCATACAATACACGACACTTGACAGGTCTGATGCCCCCAGGCACATGAGTCGTGATAGTAGCATACCGTATATTCTCTATTATAAGCACAGGTCTCCATTACTAGCACAGTCTCTAATACTAGCACACTGTGAGCCCCTTTCGAAACATTATAAGCACAGTCTCTATTATTAGCACGGTCCTGGTGGAAATCAATGCTGCATGCATGATATCTAGCATGTATTTCTTCTTGCTCTGTATGGATGTATTGGTTGAAAAAATATAAGCACGGTCTCCAATATAAGCGCGGTCTCCAATATAAGCACGGGGTAGAGGGGTGTTGAAAAAATAGAAGCACGGCGCTTATAATAGAGAATATACGGTATGTGTGCAGTGTGATGCACTGATCAAAATGATATACTGTAAGACCAGTAATGTTAACGAACATTAACACAAGCATCTGCATGCCGCACTCACACAACGAGCAACCAGTTTGGGGAATAGAAGGGTTTGTCAATTGCTTTGCCAGGCTCCGAGTGAGTGACAGCTTAGAGCTTTGCCAGGCTCCGAGTGAGTGACAGCTTAGAGCTGTGTGAATGTGTGTGTATGGCAGCTGGGCAGGGCCCTGCTGCGGAGGCTGAGTGAGCCGTATGGAGGCAGCCGGGCAGGGCCCGGCTGCGGAGGCTGAGTGAGCCGTATTGAGAGGCTGAGTGAGCCGTCTGAGTGTGAGAGGCTGAATGAGCTGTATGAGGAGCCTGGTAAGCAAGGTTGACTCCCCTCCGTGTATTTACAGAGTTTCGCCGGTAGACGGCGTCGGTGTAGTTATTGTAGGTCGGTATGATAATGGATACCGACAGGAGAGAACTAGAACAGGAAACAGGATGATGACAATAGTGGAGTGGGTGGGTGGGTTGAGAAAGAAATCCACTGCCAATGCGGGCACAGCAAGAACTGAATCAGGAACAGTGGACTTCGGAGAGCAATGAGCGCGTGAGAGTTTGTTGGGAACAGAGCATGCGCCTTCTGTGTTAACATATTTTTGCGCGTGCGCAAAAATCAAAGCATCTGCATGCCGCACTCACACAACGAGCAACCAGTTTGGGGAATAGGAGGGTTTGTCAATTGCTTTGCCAGGCTCCGAGTGAGTGACAGCTTAGAGCTGTGTGAATGTGTGTGTATAGCAGCTGGGCAGGGCCCTACTGCGGAGGCTGAGTGAGCCGTATGGAGGCAGCCGGGCAGGGCCCGGCTGCGGAGGCTGAGTGAGCCGTATTGAGAGGCTGAGTGAGCCGAGGCTGAGTGAGCCATCTGAGTGTGAGGGGCTGAATGAACCGTATGAGGAGCCTGGTAAGCAAGGTTGACTCCCCAAATGGAGAACCTCCTATTCACTGTTAACTGTAGAGGGGGTGCCACAGATTGTGGACAATTGTAGAGTGATATTGAGTTGCTGAGTGTACAATCGGTACATTGGTGACATTCAGTTATGCTCTGGCACCCACAATAAGTGGAATCAGTCTGTCTGATCAGCGCTTACCCAGGGCCGGTGCTGCCAGCTTTCATGGCAGTTTGCATGTGGACTTTCGTCACGCGGCAGTGCAAGGCACGGCCGAAGTCTCCCACATTTAATTCTAACGATTTAACGAATTTAAAACAATCGTTAACATTGGAAGTCGTTATGTACTACAGTCGTCCCTCTCTAATCCGGCACCTTTTGCTACGGCATTTTCTGCTGGATTAACGAGGGTGCTGGATTAAGAAATCCTGCCCTCTGACCCGGCCCTACCCAATTACATGCATGTATCATACGTCAAAACGCAGGGTTTTTCCGTGTCGACCCCAGTATTTGGTGCACGGCTTTATATTCTCAACTTTTCTCCAGGAATATACACAGTGATAAAGTAAAACAGAGAACATGTTCACATGTATACGTACTCTTGCACACACACGCACAGTCGATTTACGACTAGTAGTAGTAGTAGTAGTAGAATTTATTATTTTACCAGGGAACTCCCAACAGGCGTTGCCTTTTTACTGGGAACCCTTGGACTGCCGGATTATGAAATCAAACTACGTGCAGTTTGAGCGATTCGTTTCAAAAAGTCACTGCCGGAGGCGGAATTCAAGTGCCGGATTAAGATGTAGGAATTGAACGAAAAAAAATCGGGTTTCATCAGAAAGTGCGCCGGTTGGCAAGGGTTCCGGATAAACAAGTGCCGGATTAGAGAGGGACGACTGTATAAACAATATGTGCATGACAGTCATTTGCCATTTTTTGGACAAAATTCGTTAAAATTTCACCTCTCTATCCCACGAAAATCCGAAGATCGTTAAATTTAATTGGCATTAGAAATATCTGGTCTTACAGTATCGCATGTACATGTATAGTGAATATGTTCACGTGACCCACTGAACCTGGATAAGAAGACAACCTGGCCAAGGTGACCACTTTGTCTGGTCCGTTGAGAGATCGCCTTAGACAGGTTTCACTGTATGTACATGTACACTGCTACACTGCTACACTGCTACACTGCTACACTGCTACACTGCTACACTGCTACACTGCTACACTGCTACACTGCTACACTTCTACACTTCTACACTGCTACACAGACACACTGCTACACTGCTACACTGCTACACTGCTACACTGCTACACTGCTACACTGCTACACTGCTACACTGCTACACTGCTACACTGCTACACTGCTACACTGCTACACTGCCACACTGCCACACTGCCACACTGCCACACTGCCACACTGCCACACTGCCACACTGCCACACTGCCACACTGCCACACTGCCACACTGCCACACTGCCACACTGCCACACTGCCACACTGCCACACTGCCACACTGCTACACTGCTACACAGACACACTGCTACACTGCTACACTGCTACACTGCTACACTGCTACACTGCTACACTGCTACACTGCTACACTGCTACACTGCTACACTGCTACACTGCTACACTGCTACACTGCTACACTGCTACACTGCTACACTGCCACACTGCCACACTGCCACACTGCCACACTGCCACACTGCCACACTGCCACACTGCCACACTGCCACACTGCCACACTGCCACACTGCTACACTGCTACACTGCTACACAGACACACTGCTACACTGCTACACTGCTACACTGCTACACTGCTACACTGCTACACTGCTACACTGCTACACTGCTACACTGCTACACTGCTACACAGACACACTGCTACACTGCTACACTGCTACACTGCTACACTGCTACACTGCTACACTGCTACACTGCTACACTGCTACACTGCTACACTGCTACACTGCTACACTGCTACACTGCTACACTGCTACACTGCTACACTGCTACACTGCTACACTGCTACACTGCTACACTGCTACACTGCTACACTGCTACACTGCTACACTGCTACACTGCTACACTGCTACACTGCTACACAGACACACTGCTACACTGCTACACTGCTACACTGCTACACTGCTACACTGCTACACTGCTACACTGCTACACTGCTACACTGCTACACTGCTACACTGCTACACTGCTACACTGCTACACTGCTACACTGCTACACTGCTACACTGCTACACTGCTACACTGCTACACTGCTACACTGCTACACTGCTACACTGCTACACAGACACACTGCTACACTGCTACACTGCTACACTGCTACACTGCTACACTGCTACACTGCTACACTGCTACACTGCTACACTGCTACACTGCCACACTGCCACACTGCCACACTGCCACACTGCCACACTGCTACACTGCTACACTGCTACACTGCTACACTGCTACACTGCTACACTGCTACACTGCTACACTGCTACACTGCTACACAGACACACTGCTACACTGCTACACTGCTACACTGCTACACTGCTACACTGCTACACTGCTACACTGCTACACTGCTACACTGCTACACTGCTACACTGCTACACTGCTACACTGCTACACTGCTACACTGCTACACTGCTACACTGCTACACAGACACACTGCTACACTGCTACACTGCTACACTGCTACACTGCTACACTGCTACACTGCTACACTGCTACACTGCTACACTGCTACACTGCTACACTGCTACACTGCTACACTGCTACACTGCTACACTGCTACACTGCTACACTGCTACACTGCTACACTGCTACACTGCTACACTGCTACACTGCTACACTGCTACACTGCTACACTGCTACACTGCTACACTGCTACACTGCTACACTGCTACACTGCTACACTGCTACACTGCTACACTGCTACACTGCTACACTGCTACACTGCTACACTGCTACACTGCTACACTGCTACACTGCTACACTGACACACTGCTACACTGCTACACTGCTACACTGCTACACTGCTACACTGCTACACTGCTACACTGCTACACAGACACACTGCTACACTGCTACACTGCTACACTGCTACACTGCTACACTGCTACACTGCTACACTGCTACACTGCTACACTGCTACACTGCTACACAGACACACTGCTACACAGACACACTGCTACACAGACACACTGCTACACTGCTACACTGCTACACTGCTACACTGCTACACTGCTACACTGCTACACTGCTACACTGCTACACTGCTACACTGCTACACTGCTACACTGCTACACCGCTACACCGCTACACCGCTACACCGCTACACCGCTACACCGCTACACCGCTACACCGCTACACCGCTACACCGCTACACCGCTACACCGCTACACCGCTACACCGCTACACCGCTACACCGCTACACCGCTACACCGCTACACCGCTACACCGCTACACCGCTACACCGCTACACTGCTACACTGCTACACTGACACACTGACACACATTGATGTACGGGGTAGAAAACAGGAGGTTGGTGATGTACAACAGTAAGTAAACTGTTGATGCCGAAAGTCATTGGTCACACTCTACCCTTACCCGGCAGCGGTGGCAGCGGCGGCGGCTGTGATGGCGATGGCCTTCTCCCTTCTCGGGATCAGATGCTGTTTATAACTATGAACTGCTGGTAACTGGGAACTTCGTTCAAGTAGCGTGTACTATATGTAGCAATATGGTGTAGTATATATCTTATTTAGTTGCATCAAGGGTACATAAACAAGAGTGTGCAACTCTTCTTGGCCCACGGTGGAATTTTTGTTGATGTGTCCTTTTCTGGAGGCTAGGAGTCCTGCCGTACAAGGCATGCACTGCGAGTCTGTGACCGCGTGAACATGGCAGAGTTGAACACGGCAGGGTTGAACACGGCAGGGTTGAACACGGCAGGGTTGAACACGGCAGGGTTCAACACGGCAGGGTTGAACACGGCAGGGTTGAACACGGCAGGGTTGAACACGGCAGGGTTGAACACGGCAGGGTTGAACACGGCAGGGTTGAACACGGCAGGGTTGAACACGGCAGGGTTGAACACGGCAGGGTTGAACACGGCAGGGTTTCACTAAACGTGCACTAGGATGCCTATCGCCGCGGGCATAATCAGGCCATCAGGACCGTTTGACGTCATTTTTTGGAATAACTCGTGTTGCCGTTGCTGGGGCCGTGGCCAATAGGTGGTCTTCCCGCCGCGGGCGTCATCACTATTCATCAGGCCATTAGGACCGTTTGACGTCATTTTGGGAATAATAATTCGACCTTTCGACCTTTCCCTAATATGTTCCTTCGTGTTGTAAGAATTTAAGAAATCAAATCAAGGACGCTCTATCTGTCTGTCATGATGGCTGAATCTTGCCATTCGAGCTCGACAGTACACTCTTTAACCTTTGGGCCTTTGACCTTTGAGGGCTTTCCCAATAGAAAACTGCATATGAGGTCATGGGTTTAATGCCTAATTTGTTGCTTCGTGTTGGTGGGATTGAAACACTACTCTTCTTCATCAAACTTTTCTTTCTCGGTGGTTGATGGAGTGATCTATGAAAAGATCAATCCATTGATCACGGATTATTGACTTGCTTGTTACGTGTGTCGGCTGGGTGGCTTATGTAAGAGTGAAGATGGAGCCTCTTCTCATCTGTGTCCGAAGATGATATTGACAGAATTATAAAGGCCAGAACACCTCAGAGTTCAGCTGACACTGCGAACAACTGGCTGAAAGTAGCCCAAAAATACGCTGCAGAATATTATCCGAATTTCTCGTGGGACAACTGCACCAAGCAGGAGCTTTGTGTATTTCTAGCAGCAAAGTTCTAGCATCACTTTATGTTGGTGCTCGGCGTGGAGATAGGCAGCCCTACCAACAGAGCAGCCTCCTTGGCCTAAACGCAGCAGTCCATCGGAGACCGAGAGAACGAGGATTCGACGTCGAATTCCACCAAGCGAATGCGGCCCCTGATGTTGAATTAATACAAATGAAATGGGACGGAGATCTCAAGCCGACAGGCCACAAAGATAATTATGATAAGTTAACTGATGCAGACATGGCGTTAATAAAAAGCTACTTTTTGATATCAAAAACTCCAGAGAACCTCAACTAGCAAGTTCGGTTTGCTATAACGCTCCACCTCAGTCTTCGAGGCAGAGAACTGCAGCGACGACTAACAAAAGAAAAAGACAGACGAGAACGGGGCAGCGTACTACGAATTGACGGTGGACTTCGCCACAAAGAACCACCAGGGCGGCATAAATGACAGACAAGCTCCTGGCAATGCTGGGCGGATCCAAGAGGGCAACCAGGTTTTTGCCATCGATATGTTTCTGTCGAAGTTAAACCCACTCCGGGATGAACTGTTTCAGCGCCCGAAACCAGACAGCAGCATCAAGAAGGGAGAACTAGTGTGGTATCAGAACACAGCACTTGGGAAGAACACCCTAGGACGTATGATGCAGCGTTACCGTATCTCAGCACTTGGGAAGAACACCCTAGGACGTATGATGCAGCATTACCATATCTTGACAGTTTGTGAGCTCTCCAAGGACTACACAAATCACACGATGAGAGCGACAGCTGTGTCCCGGCTGCAGCGTTCTGGCCTGTCGACCAGAGCCATCATGAGCGTCACGGGACATCGCTCAGCAGTCAGCCTCCAAGCATATGCCGTTCCATCGGAGGAGTAGAAACTTCGATGGTTTGCGTTCTGGACGAGGGACTGACAGTGGCAAAAAGCACGACCGCGTAACTCAAAGCACTGGAACAGGATACAACTACAAGGGAGACTGAGGAAGCAGCTGTGCCTCTCAGTTGAGACGAAGTGGAAATGGGACGTATGCCAGGTCTGTCCTCCTCCTCCTCATCATCATCATCACCACCACTGGCGCCAGTAGCCAATGAGAAGAAGCAGTCTGCAGGCGCGGGCGGCAAGATTCAGCATCAGGACCTCACAGAGCGTGCTTGATTACATACATACAGCTTAGACAGCATCCAAAATGTAGAACATGCCAGGCAGGAAGGTAAGATTTAGGAACACCAGAGGTGTGTTTCATGTAACATGCGTACCTCTACTATGGGAAAGTGCAAGCACAGAATAAGAAAGAAGGGGCTGGAATCTCAAAATCAGGACATCACCAGCCTCAAGTGTTCTTCGGCGCCCAATGTTACTGTAGACGATAATGACTCTGTGCATGTTTGCTTTTTTTGCAGATTAACAGCACTCATGAAGATGCCTTGTTCAACATTGGCTTGACATTATCATCAATGCGCCGCTATCCAGCAGCTCTCGACGCTGCTAAAGTCCTGTTGGAAGTGAGTGATGTTGCTCACACATACTCCTCCCAAACATCCAACAATGCATTGCAAGTGTGTCAAACTGTGTGTGGTTATGGAACACATCGATGCATTCAGAATAAACAACTGACAATAGAGTGAATATCAAATAAACAACTGACAATAGAGTGAATATCAAATAAACAACTGACAATAGAGTGAATATCAAGATAAACAACTAACAATAGAGTGAATATCAAGATAAGTCTGGACATTTCTTGCGGCTTCTGTCTGTTGCAAATATGGCAAAGGGTGACTGTCAGAACTGAATGGCTTGCTGTACGTGTCCACTGACAGTGAATGCATGCAGCAGAGGGATGTGAGTGGTGCTCATTTACCCATACCATATTTGCAGTACGAGTTAGAAGGGAAAAGGAAAATGGCACAGAGAAAATGTACTTCACGTCATTATTCACACATCGATCATGTTTATTTCAGTCCTCACAATAGCCAAGATAACTTGCTGTATTTCCCCGATTATAAGGCACAGTTGATTGTAGGTGGCACCCCCGTTTTCAGGTTTGAGCCAGTTTGGATACATTCACGTCAGTAAGTCATGCTTGATTGTAAGTCGCATCCCCCCCCCCCCCCCTTTACCCTTGCATTTTAGTGTACAAAGGTGTGACTTATATCCGGGGAAATGCGGTACTCACATGCACGTGTCTTTCTGTCTATTTCTGTCTGTATATAATTATGTGTATGTCTGTCTGTGTGTCTGTGTATCACGTGTCCGTGCGTGCGTTTGTTGACGTGTGTGTTTATATCACTGTGTATCACTGTACAGCACTATCCGGAGCATTTCAAAGGCGCTTTGCTAATGGGTGATGTCAATATGCACACAGGCCAATATGAAGAAGCCCTGAAGGTACGTGCATTATCAACTGTTTCCCTGTGCGGGTACAGTGCTTCTATCTCCTGCCAGCAACATCATGTGTGGTGTTAATGTATTGGGGGTGGTTGGACTGTGTGGTCTTCTGTTAGATCATACAGTGAAAGTCATTTTAGTACACTTGGATAAGATGTACACCTAATTAGTAGTAACGCAATAAATAGAGCAAGCTGCGCACTCAGTGCAAACACCATAAGCAAAAGTCTTGTTGGCATGGATAATTCCTTTAACGTTTTCGAGGCCATCTCATCAGAAAGATTTACTGGCAAATCGAAATCAATCCAATAACTGGACTCAGCTGGAGAGCCAAGGATAAATTTATAGAAAAGAAAACTACAAGTCATGCTATGATGTCCACTGACACCACCAGTTACTAAAATAATCAGCTCATGCGATAACATTGCACGACACTGACCGACGGTGCTGACGTTCTACAACTAACTGGCTATCAGCTCTAGCACATCTTGGATGCGCACTCCAACATTCTACGCAATATTTTGCCAAAAAACTTACCGTTTGTCACAACGATAAATCAGCCCCCATAACGGTTTTACACTGCAGCTTCAACGCTATAATTATTATGGGCGATCAAGGTACAAGTACCGTAAATAGCGTTATCGTTGTTTGGTAACCGGGTGTCTACTGTCTTGTATTGCACGGTGCCATCAATGTGATCAAGAGTCCATAAACAGGATAATACAAAATAAATAATAAATTCGACGGGTTCGCGTACCGGGCAGGTCAAGAACAAGGAGTCGTACAACTCCCTGGTCAAGAACCACCTTTCCGCTTCCGTGGGACGCCACCACCCCATGATCAGGCGTCAGATGCGGCTCCTAAACGGTGGGGGAGGATAGATCAGATCCACCAACCATAGGCCAAAGGCCTAAATCCCATTTGCCACATCCATGATTTACTCATGCCAGGCCACGAGTTCCCAATTAACTGTGGGTCGCCGCACGGTTGGAAAAAATCCTTCCTATAAACAGGATAATGCACATGCAAAGTGCAACATGACTTTTTTGTGGCACAGCTAGAAATTCATGATTGTAATGACATCACAGGCTACATCACGTGGTCACAGGGCCGCGCTTTCAATAACGGATAAGGTAGGAATGCTACAATCAGTGGCAGCAAATCCTGGTGAATCATTACTCGACACTAGTTATTGGCCTGTGCTACACACAGACCAGCACTCTTTTTTTGGCCACCACACTTTGCTTTACATGTGCATCGCCAGCCCAGATGATTTGTCAAGAATGTTCAGGACACTCACTGTAGTTCATTTTGGGATACGGGTAGCCATTTTGTGTTTCCCACGCGTAAATTGAGGATTCTGAGTCGTGCTCTACAGCCCACCAGTTACTGATAGTTAACTTTCACCGTATCATTTGCTTTCATTGATGCGTAATTCCTCAAGCTCACTCCTCTCTTGTTCTTGTGTTCCAGTCGTATAATGCTGGACTAGACATTCGACCACAGGCCACTATCGCTCTGCACAACAAAGCTATCGCGCTGGCCCATCTGGAACGCAACGTGGAGGCACACGCACTGATGAAAGAAGTACTGGCCCTGGAGCCCACCTACCCCAACGCACAGAAGAACATGAAAGCACTGAAACTCAAGGTAGAAAATGACAGACAAAAGGCAACGGTGTAGTTTGCTTTGCTGAATGGAAGTGTGTATGTAAAGAATGACGACTGATCTTTTAAAACACATTAAAATGTGTTTCGTCCCATGCTCTGAACAGCATGTTGCCAGTTGATTATTATTAGTTGCGTCCTTGTGAAGACACCTACCTAAAAGGAATATTATTTATTTGATGAATAGGAGAGATCTGTTGTGCATAAATATGTAGTTGAGAATACAAACTATGCGGAATGGAAAGATCAAATTGAATAAATGTGTAAAATCAATCAAATATCTATCTATTAAAGATGCAGATAAACAAGCACTGCTATTTCCTATTGATCAGAAGATTATATTCCTGAATTGAATTATTACTCACTAGAGGCATCAGCGTATTATTCACTAGACATATATCAAACTGAGACCTCACAGTGCGCCCTATCCAGAATTGCTAGAATAGAAATTCTCATTTTTGTTTGATTCGTTTCTTGTCAACTGCACAAGTTATGGCAAGTAAAGAACATATATTTCATCACAATGACTTTTACCGCCATTGACGAGTGTAGAGCTAGATACCCACAAGCAAGATAGACATCAAGTGCTGCCGCCACGCGAATGGACGCTGCACATCGGCTATAAAATGGTGCAGCACGATTTGTCCTCGTCTTCTTGTGTGGCGACTGTCCCGTTGTCTTGGTCTTTGGGCATAAGTTGTGCACTGGATTGCTGCTGTTGGAATGGAGCGTCGTCGGCGTTGGATTCCTTTCCAGTGGCTGCTTGGGCAACTTCACCTCGTACAGCAGCATCATTGCTTTCTGCTTTTACATCGCTGGTTTTCGTCTTCGGTGGGACCTCCCAGGCTAACGCTGGTGCTTTCCCTGCTGCCTCTGCTGGTGCTGCCTCTGCCGGTGGTGGTTTTGAAGCCGCTTCATCATTGTCAAAAGTTTGCCCAGTTTCAAATTGCTATCAGACAGATAGACAGACAGCAAGGATTAGAAAACTTGAACAAGATCACGATGCAGGTGTCAATGTTAAGCGGAACATTTTGCCGCACCAAACACCCTTGTTCCGCACCGGTGACGGACCCAGTGAATTTACAGGACGTTTTTTCTTCCGCTTTTAGTCTGACTGATAGGATGCGTTTCGGATGCGTTTCGGACTCGACAAACACAACAACATGACAAACAGTCTGAATTCAGATCCCTGCAATAGTGAGCAAGCGGTGGAGAAGTGCAAGGTCGGGAATGTGGGTATCCCGCACTGCACCGCACTAGTCAGGTGGCCATTTCAACAGCGCAATCAGTAATAGCAGTATTAGCAGCAGCTCCAACGTTAATGGTAACAGCAAGCATCAATCCAATCGTGTGTTGGGGGGAGGGGGTTGTGGAAGCTGTGCAAGTGTAACACAGCACATGGCGAGGTGGTTGAGTGGTTGAGCGATCTCTCTAGTATAACAAGGCATATGGTGGGTAAGGGATAGAGCCATTGTCATCGAGTGATTTCTCCTTACCTGCTGTGCCTGGACTCTCTGCATTGCCTCGTTCTTAGCTTCATGCCGAGACAGAGACTTCTTTCTCTCCAAAGTGCTACGCTTTACAGAGTGTCTGTACAAAACAATTACATGTATGATGAGAAACAGTAGAAACAGTAGAAACAGTAGAAACAGTAGAAACAGTAGAAACAGTAGAAACAGTAGAAACAGTAGAAACAGTAGAAACAGTAGAAACAGTAGAAACAGTAGAAACAGTAGAAACAGTAGAAACAGTAGAAACAGTAGAAACAGTAGAAACAGTAGAAACAGTAGAAACAGTAGAAACAGTAGAAACAGTAGAAACAGTAGAAACAGGATACGCATGTAAATGCATCATCGTCATGCCATGCCAACAATGCATATTAAAGGGCTGTTGGTGTGGCAACAGGGGCTACATGGCCTGGCAATAAGAGAGCTCACTAGTCTGTCCCCTTGGAAAACGCGATTCCGCGGCCGCGGCAAATTTCGCAGAAATTGTCATCATCCGCAGAAATCACGGAATCCACACTATTGCCCGCGGAATTTGAATTTTTTAGGATAAATTAGTAAAATTACTACTCAGAAAGCAGCAGAAAAACTACTTTGCGATCGGTTTGAGCACATTATGCTCTTGCGAGTGTAGGTGAGTGCAGAATCTCCAAGATTCTTCACTCTCATTCAGTTTGTGACTGCAAACGATAGTGTGAAAAGTACTCCTTCATGCAAGGAGGGTGAAAAACTTGCAGAAAGTGCCGCAGATTTTTGATTTTACCACAGAAAATGCCGCAGAAAACCCCCCTTTTCCCCCGCGGAATTTGCCGCAGAATATTGAATTATTGGCCGCGTTTTTCCAAAGGGACAGACTAGTATAATGCCAATGGCAACAATTTTGGCCAAAAATCCGATTTGGGCTAAAATTCGAAGCACAAAATTGTTTTATGGTGTGTACTTTTGGTGGTACTATACTTCTTTCTGGGACTCTGATGTTTCATACAAGAAAGGCTGCAGCTACTAGTATCACCAAGAGTCCATAACCCAAGAGTATGCAACTGTGATCTCTTTTCTATGGGCCAACCGCGCGGCGCGCTGCCTTCATTACATCATTCAGCTGCAGTCCGCGCACTGCGGAAAATCAAACACCGCACTTTCCCTCTAGTTTGAAATGAACTTTCGTACGGAACTGGAGTTCACGCGCCAGAATTCAGAGATTGTGTAGGTACTGGAACGAATCGAGCAAAAACGGATGGGCTCGTGCGAGAAATTGAGAGTTTGAATGCATGCTTTCAGAGCGTGATGAAGGCAAGTTACGTAATGAAGGCAGCGCGCCACGCATGCACCCATAATCACAGTTGCATACTCTTGGGTTATGGACTCTTGGTATCACCTTGGTCAGCATGATGATTGTGTTGACCGGCGTGCAAACAAATGATGAAGTGTGTAGGTCTCATGATGAAGTACACTACTCTCCACAACAGCATTACTATGACTACTCTCCACAACAGCACTACCATGACTACTCTCCACAACAGCATCACCATGACTACTCTCCACAACAGCATCACCATGACTACTCTCCACAACAGCATTACCATGTTCTTCATTACGTCATGATGCATTACCCCTTGAGAGTGCAGTCGCGCCTGCCTACCTACAAACAAACCTGTATGGGGTAGCTGAGCGAGAAATACAGTTATGCAAGCAGAATAGCAGAATAGCAGCTCAGCGCTACTTCTTACCCTCTGCTACTAGTAGTCATTCGCTTGCTGCGATTTGCTTTCCTGCTGGCCAGTTTATCAACAGCCTGCAGTTTCAAGTCCATAATCACTGCCTGCAGCTCTGGATCTTCCGTTAAACCTACACAGAACAGTTATGCGTACACACATGTTCAGTTGTGCTAGGTCAGTAGGTGAAATCCAACCCAAAGTACAAGTCGGGCACCCTGGACCAGTTCTGATTACATCACTGTATTCGTACATGTGTACGCCCAGCAGCAGTGTTCGCACTACTTCCAGTGTGTCAAGGCCGACTCAAGGGTCGTGCAAGTCCAGGGCACTAAATAATCTGCCCTTTGGGTTGGATTCCACTAGTAAAAAAGAAAAAAAGTAAATTATCGTGTCCGTTCCCGAAGGGAACTCACGACGGCTGCTAACACCCGATAAACCCTAGCGGCAGATGCAGCGCCTAACGGTGGGGGTGAGTGGATAAGTCTCACAACCACTGGCACAAGTGCCGAAAACGACCCCATTAGCTGCATCCATGTACCCCTTGTGCCTGGCCACAAGTTCCCAGTTGACTGTGGGTAGCAGCACGGCTGGAAAAACCGCTTCCATCATTCCACCCAGCACAACTGTATGCAAGTCACCATAATATTATACACCAGTCACACAGTGCAGACGAGGCTAGGAGTAAGGAGTAGTGTAGTTGACTGTAACTGGGAGTTTCATGGTCAGCGCAATCTTCAGATAACATACAACAGAATAGTGTTGGTCATGCTAGCTCTGTATACCGGTATACAGAGCTAGCATATACCGGTATACAGAGGGGCCGGTACAAGCAGCAGACATGTTGCGGTGTCAGTGGTCCTGGACGTGGTGCTATGCTTTGAGTGTTTGTTGGGTTAACATTGTATATTTGTTGATTCATATGGTGGTAAATACACACCTGGCAATATGGCAATTTATCACTCCCTTATTATTGACCCCCACAGAAACTTGTGATCTCTAAGGGAGCATCTCATAAGTTCGCATTTTGTTTCTAAACGTAACGCATTTCGAAACGGGGGTAGCGCCCTTTTCGAATAGAAAAATGACAGTTCGCACATTTTCTAGATCACTTCACTGTCTTCAGCAAATGAGTGTGTTTATGTGTAGATCTACCTGTGTTTGCAGATCAGCTAACCCTGTACTACATGCATGTAGGCTACTCAGAGGTGTCAAATGTCACACCAGCCTGATCAAACCGTGTAGATCTACCTGGTCAGCTTTTATAGCAGTACAGACTTTTTAGTTGTTGTGGAGGAACTGTGTTTATGTACATGTACATGTCATTGATTGTACTTGTACTCAGTAGATGCGGTACTACTGTATGCCATTCACTACCATACTAGCAAAACATTTATATCCATGTACATGTACATAACTCATAAGCATACCATAGCATGGGGCATGGATGTGTGCAGTACGTGTAGATAAACACAGAAAATGTGCGATAAGACTTTCGAATAGAGGGGGGAGGTAGGGGGGTAAAGTCTATTCGAAATGCGTTACGTTTGCAAAATAAATGCGAACTTATGAGATGCTCCCTAAGCGGTCAAATATCAGCATATATTGACCGCTTATATTGACTACTTATTATTGACCACTTAGCCCGAGGACTTAGAACTTTTTCCTTAACTTAGAAAAAAATCAGAACTGAAAGAAGAAAATCTGAAGCCAAATGCTGGGATTTGAACCCAAACTGTCAGATTCTCAGTCAAAGAACTTGGGGAACATACTACAAGAGACAACTGAAAACTTCGGTTTACACAGAAGTAATGTCCAATGTAAACGGCATATGTACATACTATTATACTATTACAATAGTATTCCTTTCTTCCTATAGCAAAGCAAAAACAGTTTTAGGTATGCTATGTCGTGATAAATCTATTATTGCCCTCATAATCGGTCAATATATGAAATATAGACCTCGTAAAAGACCTCGGGGGACCTCGGTCTTTTACTCGTTCTATATTTCATATATTGACCTCTTTAATCGTGCAATAATAGATACATACACACCTGGCAATATGGTGGTAAATACACACCTGGCAATATGGCGGTAAATACACACCTGGCAATATGGCGGTAAATACACACCTGGCAATATACACACCTGCCCACACACGCTGCTCTCTAAGCTGCAAAGTTACTCTGGCACAGAGATCTCCTGCTCACCACCACCATCACCATCAGTTCACGTCTAGTCGATGCATGGTTAGTGGTATCTGACATTACCATCGCAATTGTACTGAAATAGAGTAGCTTGTCTAGTCTGCCTAGTACTAGTACATGGATGCGGGACTGTGTCAGTTTCAGGACTTTTCCATGGGTACATTGGGTAGATTATGATTGTGGTGGTGTTTATAGAGAACTGTAGACAATGCATGCGCCTTAACATACATGTAAGTACCAACATTCATGGTATACTTGTGCCTAGGGGAGTTTGTGTTTGTGTGTGCACGTAGCATTACTCACTGTAAGGGGTATCGTAGTTCTTTGTTCTTGCATCAAAGTCAGCACCATATTTAGCGAGGACTGCCAGCACACTTGCCTGCAGACACAACACAACTGATCCAGTTCACAACTAATCCTCCTACAGAAATACCCAATCTGCGGACAGAACCGTTTCGTCCTTCGTGGACTCGTCAGCGCAGCACAGAGAAAACGAGGCCGACAGAAATAGACATTTGTTCATGTTTTTTGTTCTGTAACAAGTTACGTTACAAACTTATGATTATAGTCGCCATTATACTGAGTGCCGGTAATGTTAGTTCTACAATAGCCAGTTTCAAACACAAAACAAGACTACTGGGCTCATGCCCTGCTGCTCATGCCCTGCTGGTGATGGGAACAAGAACTCTAGTACTTCCAATGATAGTGGGGATTATCAATGATAGTGGGAATTATCAATGATAGTGGGGACTATCAATGATAGTGGGGACTATCAATGATAGTGGGGATTATCAATGATAGTGGGGACTATCAATGATAGTGGGGATTATCAATGATAGTGGGGATTATCAATGATAGTGGGAATTATCAATGATAGTGGGGATTATCAATGATAGTGGGGACTATCAATGATAGTGGGGATTATCAATGATAGTGGGAATTATCAATGATAGTGGGGACTATCAATGATAGTGGGAATTATCAATGATAGTGGGGATTATCAATGATAGTGGGGATTATCAATGATAGTGGGAATTATCAATGATAGTGGGGATTATCAATGATAGTGGGGATTATCAATGATAGTGGGGACTATCAATGATAGTGGGAATTATCAATGATAGTGGGGATTATCAATGATAGTGGGGATTATCAATGATAGTGGGGATTATCAATGATAGTGGGGATTATCAATGATAGTGGGGATTATCAATGATAGTGGGGACTATCAATGATAGTGGGAATTATCAATGATAGTGGGGATTATCAATGATAGTGGGGATTATCAATGATAGTGGGGATTATCAATGATAGTGGGGATTATCAATGATAGTGGGGACTATCAATGATAGTGGGAATTATCAATGATAGTGGGGACTATCAATGATAGTGGGGATTATCAATGATAGTGGGGACTATCAATGATAGTGGGAATTATCAATGATAGTGGGGACTATCAATGATAGTGGGGATTATCAATGATAGTGGGGATTATCAATGATAGTGGGGATTATCAATGATAGTGGGGATTATCAATGATAGTGGGGACTATCAATGATAGTGGGGATTATCAATGATAGTGGGGATTATCAATGATAGTGGGAATTATCAATGATAGTGGGAATTATCAATGACGACGTTGATGAAGACTGTGAAGCTCATGAAATCATTTCGGACTTCATTGAGTGCAAGCTGGAATCCTTAGACTCGGTTTCTCCATGGCAATTGCTACTATCACTGGCAAAAGTACAGAGTGGTGCAAAGCTGTGTTCACAACTGGCGCGTGCACGCGTGAAACCACGCGTTTGTGCGTATTTTTGCTGGCTTTTGAGGCGCCATGCGTACGGAAATGCGCCGAAATGGAAATTCCAACATGTTTTCAGCGCGTGTCAGGCGCGTACCAGCGTACACTTTGACTGGTGGGGTCAAAAAATTAGTACTCGAAGGTGTCGCACGCGCTAAATACGACTCGGATTGCTCTTTTTTTGTGAAAGCTTAAGCGCGTGTTTGGGCACACATGAACCGCAAGCGTACCGCGTCCACGTGCCAGTTGGGAACACAGCTTAATTGCAATTTTCACTCGGAGTCGTTCTGAGCTGCTACGCAAGTCTTGCGAATTTGAGGAGAATTTCTTCTGGACTGTACTATTCATGAACCACAGTGATGAGCCAAACTGACTGACTGAAGCAAAGTGCGATTGTCATATTCCCATTTCGAAGGACACTGCCCAAGTGGCCAAGAAGAACAACGCTTCATTAACAGATACGATGCGGGGGAAAAAAACGAAAAGCAAAAAAAACCCAACCCAGCGATGATATCATCTGCCATCATCTGGTGAATGAGCTTCATGCCAGTGGCATGCATGGTTTCTGGTAGATAATGTAGACCCTACACTGTCTTGGTGTAGATACACAATGTGTTACATTGTGTATCTACATGAACCATGCAGAAAACACTGCATGTACTGCTCTGACCACGATCACAGCACGTACTGGTAGATCTAATACATCTTCTTACTCGCACTAGCGTACGAGAGCTCGTACATGCATGTGCAATATCTGCCGAGTTCCAATCCTACATGTTGGGGGGGGGGGGGGGGCTGAAGTTCCTCCTCCCTCAACCACTTCCTGAACCACTGTAACCTAACGGATAGATGGTCTTGGGAGGATGACTGCTAGTCCTATCTGCCACTTAGTGTGATCATGACAACAGTAGACTACCGTGACTCAGCCTGCTCAGTATAGCAGTATGGCAATGTAGCTTACATGACCCCAGCAAGATGCTGCGTGTGCTGCTGTCCAGTCATCAAGATCTCTAGCATTGACATTGGAACCATGATGGAGAAGCAACTCTGCCACCTTGTCCAAACCATGCGCCGCTGCTACGTGTAACTACAAATGCACCAAACCAGAAGAGAGACACAGACAGGCAGGCAGACAGACAGGCAGACAGACAGAGAAAAAAGAGAGAGAGAGAGAGAGAGAGAGAGAGAGAGAGAGATCCATGGAACTAGCCCATCATGGCCATTGGACAGAGGTAGTCTCTGAAACAAGGGTGACCAGCGTATATTCCGTACGGTTAGTGCCAAAAAGTAGTTGTCTCACCCAGTGTTGTCATCTGTACACTAACTGAAAGGTGACCCCAAAGCGGAATACAGAATACACCCAGGTCCTTACCGGAGTAGCCTGCATTCTATCTCGATCATCTGGCTTTATCAGTCCTTTCTGCAAGTCCGATGTCATCTTCTCTTCCAACTCATATCTCTGGTAAGCTATGTCTTCATCTGAATAACCTGCACAATACAACACAAGGAAAGGGTTTGTGTGTGTGTGTGGGGGGGGGGGGGGCATGGAGTGCAAGGTACAGACATGGAGTGCAAGGTACAGACATGGAGTGCAAGGTACAGACATGGAGTGCAAGGTACAGACATGGAGTGCAAGGTACAGACATGGAGTGCAAGGTACAGACATGGAGTGCAAGGTACAGACATGGAGTGCAAGGTACAGGCATGGATTGCTCAGACACATGTACTTAGTTCACTAATCACTACTAATCTCCTCACTCAAACCTAACCAGAGAAGACAGTGACTATGCTCACTCAAACCTAACCAGAGAAGACAGTGACTATGGAGAATGGACATGTTCAGTTATACACTCTGGACCCGGGCTAGACAATTCTCAGATTACCATAGTGAGTGAGTGAGTGGATTGCGACCGTGTAAATGAGCAATGGGAGTTTGTTATGAACTCTGCACTCGCTGATCCACGCGATAAAACCATGTTAAAGGGTATCAGGTTTGCAACTCTGAAATCGAACGGCGTATACAATTCTAGAATGGACGAAATCGTGTGTAGATGTATTGCTGTGTGCCAATTGCAAGAGTTTATACACCCAGCTCAACAAAGCATTGACACCGCTCCACAGTTTATGACGGTCACGTACAGTATAGGTTTCTCTAAATTCCTCCAAGCCAATCCAATCACCGCCAAAGAACAGTGCATTGTTATTGACGAGACAGAAACTTGAATGTTAGAAACACAAAGCCTGCCTCTGTCAATGTCCTTTCTTCATGCAGTAGCAGCGAAACACTTGCCTTGCTCCACCTGCGCATCTTTCAATAAATCAAATATGGCCGTCGTATCGGCCATGTCGATTGGCAGATCACCATCACTGTTAAGCACAGCAACACACGCTCCATTATCTAGCAGCAGTTCCACTATGTGTTGCAGTCCACAGCTGGCAGCTGCATGCAGCGGTGTCCACCATTCATTATCACGCAGGTTGACGTCTGCTTTATAGTCGATCAAGAGCTGAGCAATTTCTGGTGAGTCCTCAATGCAACACTGCAAGTCACGCATGTACATACACATATGCATATGCACATGCACACACACACACACACACACACACACACACACACACACACACACACACACACACACACACACACACACATACATGCACACACACACACACACACACACACACACACACACACACACACACACACACACACACACACACACATACATGCACACACACGCACACATGAACACACACGCATATGCGCACACAAACGTGAACACACACACACACGCACACACACACAAACACACACACACAGTTGGCCCAGGAATATTACTGGTAAGCAGACACAAATTTCTAGATTGTTGTATGGTCGCATCTTGGTATGACATTTTCCAGTGCAATGCTGGCATGAAATTATGAAATACGCACATATATACAAGTATGGCAGTGCGGTTTCTTGATTTCAACCCCACCCCTAGGAGGAGAGTTGAAATCAACCCGGGTCAAGTGCAATCCAGCATGGACACTATCCAGTCAATCTGTGTTCATGGTGGGCTGATGCTCAACCCGGGTCGAACTCAACCTGGGTAGGAAACTCTCATGTAAACACAGTCTAAGTGATCACACCAATCATTACCTGATGTAAAGCGGACAGGCCATCAAAGTTGACAGAGTTAGGATCTGCACCTTCCTCCAGCAAGGAACGAACTGTACAACACAACACAGGATAAATCATCTAAATGGTGTCAGTTTTTGGGTGAAAATTATTTGGCAGCACTGCCGATATTACACTGGCTAGACTGTGACCTACACTGCCCTACACTGCCCTACACTGCCCTACACTGCCCTACACTGCGCGGCCCCGCTAACTTGCTGCAACTGAACGCAATTCCCACAATGGTCTGCCAAATACCAACACTAATACCGTTACGGAAGCCGGCTTGTCGCTTATGGCGGTGCGATAAGATGTCAGGGAGGGTGATAGGGTGGAATTTCGTGACTGCAGGGGTTCAAAGGAACAGTGCAAGTTTGTGTCCTGCATCGGGCTAGTGTGAAGATCAGGCCATGGTGTGTTGTCATTCAAGTGATATTATCTTATTTGACATGCTCTTATACAATCAACTCTGGACCGAAATTTGTGGGGAAGAACTTGTTTGCATGGCGGCGTTGGGGAACAAGAAACCTATTGCTAGTGAGTTTTCTTGACATCACACTAGACCTGACTAGACCTGACTGCAAGTGGAACATCCATCCTACTGCAAGCTGCCAACCTGTGCCAAACCCCTGTGCATACACAGCCAGCGGCAAATTAGACCATCCAGTAGGAATTCTGAGCAACGTGCTCCAGCAAACGAAAAAGAAGCACCCCAAAGCAGCAACAGAAGGAGAAAGTGACAGGTGATATGGCTCATGCACATCTACAACATCCACACACCTCGCTCACAACCACCTTCCCACACCAGCCACACATTCTGCGCTAACATTACACTGCTAGCCATGTAACTGCCTCTACAGCCCCCTGCCTACAACAACCACACACTCTGCACACAGCCTCCTGCTTAAAATAACACCGCTAGCTCTCAAAACTTAGCCCCCACATTCACACACATCTTTCCACACAGCGCTACAAGACCCATCAATACCTCTCCTGGAATGTATACCGGCATGGCCAGTACCCATGATCCTCATGTTGCCTGATGCTGATTGCAAAAGCATGAATCTCAGACTGGGTAGCGACTAACTAGCCTTGATTGCCCTCAGTTGTTGTTCTGTGCATTACGCTCTGCCTCCCGTGGTGGTGTTGAGCACTGTCAGCACACTGCATTACGCTCTGCCTCCCGTGGTGGTGTTGAGCACTGTCAGCACACTGGGTACATCCTCCGGTGATGTGGCTCATACCACTCTTCTCAAGGACCTTGAAGGTCACCCACGAGCCTGGTACGACATCCCTAAGGTTTAGCAATAGCACTGAATAAGTATGTTGTACTTCCCAGAGGTCTTGGGACTGGCAAGCTCTACAGCTGGAACACCGTGAAGCGATCAGTCACACGGGTACGCCGAATATGTCAGCATTGATCTGTGGCCAGGACCAAATCCTCCAGCAACCCAAGTCTGAATCTCTGAAACCGACACAGACAACTTAACTGCTCCATTGATGAATATGTCAGCATTGACCGGTGGCCATGACTGAATCCTCCAGCAACTCCAGTCTGAATCTATGCAACTGACGCAGAAAACTTAAAATTACATCGGCGCCGCAACTAAACCAGTAAGTACATATACCTCATCCAAGCACCATTCAGGCCTAAGACAAGCAGAGGACCATCAAGTGGTCAAAGTTGACAAGAAGCAAAGCCTATGCAGTAGTGTTCAGAAGCACTGTAACCTGTATGGCCTAGATCCGGGATAAGCTACAGAGTAACAGATCATCAGCCCTGGTAGAGAGCACCCTCACAAGTTAACAGATCATCAGCGGCCCGGGTAGAGAGCACCCTCATTAACTGTGACAAGAGACTCTTTTACGGGCAAACAGAATACAATTCATGGTGGCATGGTGAAGGAGTAGAACACAACACCAAAAAATGAAAACAATTGGATGTGTAAATAGCGCCATTTGGTAGAGGAAAGAGTCAAAATCCCTAATCTCCTTTTGACATACAAAATCAATGTAAAAAAACACAAAACAAAAAACAAAAAACATGCCAGGAAAACACATGGGCACAGTCCTGTCCAACCTCATCTCCAAATCACTCACAGCCGGCCCTTCGAGATTGCCAACTCTCGCAAAGCATTTACAGGACGGTGATATGATGATCGGGCACTGCGGATGCACATGATTGCCGACCGCAACAATGCAAAAGCGAATGACACCGGACATTTGTCATTGTCTCGGCATACAACTTCGCGTCCCCATTCGAAATGGGACCACACAAGCGCTTGAAAAACTGTACTGTGACAAGAGAAGTGATTTGATTTCCAAGTGTCATCGTGGAAACAAGTTCCTCCTCGCAAATTTTGACCCAGTGGTAAATACGAACGGTGATGTCAAATGAAATAAGATAATAAGATAATAAGAAAAAAACTTTTAATACTTCAAAGTATGACATACTACCGCAAGAAAGACTACAGTAACCTTCAAAACCTTCAAGCTCTTTACCGCAAGAAAGACTACAACCTTCAAAACCTTCAAGCTCTTTACCGCAAGCATTAGGATGAAGGGAAATTCACGAACTAGTTTTCGTGCTTTCTCTTCAAGTAATATAGAATCTCATCCCACCCGAGCCAATGAAACTAAGCTACATACATGTCTAGCATGACAACAGGGGAAGCCATTACGCCTAAGCGATACATATACGAAAGGAGTGAGGTGTGCAAGCTCCACTACAGCCGTTTCATGACGCGGAAAACCGAACATCATCATGAAAGCAAGTACCGTATTTTCCGGAGTATAGTGCGCACTTTAGATGTGCTAATTTAGGCCCTAAATCGCAGGTGCGCACTATGCTCCGAATATGAAATGCATGTACTTCAATGAAGATTGAAGTGCGCACCCCCAATGAAGATTGGGGGTGCGCGTTATACAAAGGTGCGCACTATACTCCGGAAAATACGGTAGGTAGTCTCTTTGCTGCAATTTCTAACTAAATTTTAATTTTGGCCAGGAGCCACCGTCCTGATGATGGCTCCTGGCTGAAAATTTGGCTGAGATAATCAGAATTTGCAGCAAAGAGACTACTTGCCTTGGTGAAGATCTAAGGGCTTTTCGTGTCAATTTACGGTGCGAAAACAAACTCTCATGACACAGTGCAAGGTCTAAGGTGGAGAGGTGTCTGAGAAAGAATTGAAGGATATGACACTTCAAATGTGTTATTCTTCAAGTTGCCTTTCAAAGGGGAAGTTACCCTAAAATGAAAACTTCACAACCTGTAGCGAAAAATGCACTGATTCAAATGGTGAAGGTCCCAGGTTGATCGGAGCAGCCGTTCCCCAGTTATACCAGCTTGAAGTTTGCACTAAATTTGGTGACATCATGATGATGTCATTAACTTGCCCAGACCAGGCCGGATTTACGACGTCGGAGAGATAGACTTGTACGGGAGCAGATGGGGATATTTCAGTATTTCGGCTCTCCATTGTACCAAAGAAGTCGGATCTTTTTTCAAACTTCGGTATGGGACATATGGCACCCTACCAGTATCCCGACTGGAAAAAATTCTAGTATGAAATTCATTGTTACAGAGAAACGAGAAAGAAATTGGTTTTTCCTCATCTACTCCCATACAAAGTCTATCTCTCTGACGTCATAAATCCGGCCTGGTCTAGTATGATGTCACCAAATTTAGTGTTAACCCCAAGCTGGTATAACTCGGGAACGGCTGCTCTGATCAACCTGGGACCTTCACCATTTGAATCAGTGCGTTTTTCGCTACGAGTTGTGAAGTTTTCATTTTAGGGTGAACTTCCCCTTTAACGTGTTTTACCCCTCGCCTCTTCTTTCTTTTTGGCACCTCGTTTTACGTAAATTTATCACTTAGTTGTAATGGTTCCCACCGTCGTAGTGCTATTATTATATTTACCTTACTTCGAAGTAGTTTCATTGGTTCTGGTTGCTTGCGTTTTTGCTTTTAAAAGGAGAGCACGGAAACTGGTTTGTGAATGCCCTACGCCGTAATGCTTTTGGTAAAGAGCTTGACGTTTGTAGTCTTTCCTGTGGTTCTAAGTTTCTTGCCCCATGCAGGAAGTTGCGGAATGACATTATCATATCCTTATCTTCACACTAGCTCCTCTAAAAATTGACAGTTCGCGTGAGATTCAGTCGGAGTGAATTCTCCACACCCATGGGAACACCACCAGTGTACCACGCTCAACAACCAAAGCACATGTATAACAGGTACAGCGATGAAAGAGATAAAGGTGAGCAGATCAGACGGGCCGCCACCATTGAACTGAGTGAACATCCCAATGTTCTCATCCAACCACCAGTAGCCGCTACAGGTGTCAGTTCACACTAACCGGTTTAACCTGTTCCCTATTCTCACCGGCCACATGTTAAGCTCATGTAGTCGCCAGTGAGTAGTTACCAGTACAAACTATCACTCTGAACCAATCTCATCCCGTCCTTCCTAGATAGTGTAAATCCGGACGCGAAAATTGCGACAGTCCATGCACTCTGAGCCGGCTCTAGAGCCAGGATTGGTAAGCAGATTCATATTGTAGCTGTTAGCTAGAGTAGAGAGGTATTGCACCTGAGTAGTATGAGTGACACTGGTAATATTTCATAAGCATTAAATCAATCCACATGCGTGTAAATAAATATGTTCTCCATAGTCCGTATTCACTGGACTGTTCAGGGAGGTGAAACAGGAAAAGACTGAACTGAGAAACATTGAATGGCACTATCACAGGAAACAAACCAGACCTGCCTCAGACTGAGTCCTGATAGCCCACTGTGCAGATGGGAGACAATGGAAGGACTTGGGATGAACGACTGTACTGTAATGTACTATGAGACATTTTTACAAACTGCTTCATGTACTTCAGAAGTAGCCCCTGTCACTTATCAAGACTATAACGATGTGCACAATCGTCATTAGGACATGCGTATCGGTACACGTGTACACGTGAACACGGAGAGGGAAGGGAACAAACATAACATGATTGATTGCCGACTTCTGTCTAGCTACACGCACACTAATGGCTTTCATAACCACCGCCTCTTGTCAATCTTGAAGAGACACTTATCTTGACATCCCGCTTTTCATTCACAGAACTAGAAGAGTGAGTGCTTTTGGTACACCACTACAAGTATCTTAGACTAACACAGGCCTCTTTTACAAGTATCTTAGAAACTTTTTCTAAGTACAAGCAGCTGCGGCAGGTTGCACAGGTGCAGCGCAGGGTAAAACAGGCGAAAAGAATCCACAGCCGTGCACGGTGCAGACCGACACGACGCTACTACAGACTACAGTACAAACTAGCTGCTTGCTGTGACAATGTCACGACGAACAAGAACGAGTGAGGGGTTGACAGGCGCCTAGGCGTGTCCATAGGACCATACCCACTACTGCCTACTGGTCTGCAGCGGTCAAACATTTCCATTCTAAAACATTACAATGCCCTTACAGCCTAGCCACTTACCTTCGTCAATATCATCTCTTGAGCTAGCATCAATGAGCGAGTAGCTGCCGTTGAACTTGACAAGAGTTGGTTCTCTTTTCTTGTTGCCAATAATACTCAACAGAAGAGGGCAGCCGCGCTCATCCCATCTTCGCAGTTGCTTAGCGCGGTACGCTGTCGCTCTGGCGATGCGTTCAGCTAAACTGCACCTGCGGTACTCCTTGGCCTGCTCACACAGCTCCGCTTGCTCGCGCACTACCTCGCTTATCAAGTCTTCTTCCTCAGCTGTAGCGCCCCTGGTGGCCATGTTTCATCTTCCGCTGTGGAGGCGTGGAGGGCAGCAGCAGCTTGGAATAATTATTACTACGGTCGTTGTCAGCTCTGCCAGCGCAAGTTTCCCTTCTAAGCCAGTTCAGGCCTCCACGCGCTTGAAATGAAGTTTTGAGTTTGCTGCGTGCTGCTACCAGTGCATGCAGTACTTAGCCCATTTCCTTCCACCACCTGGCAGCCAGCAAAACACTGGCAGCATGCAGCAGCATGTGAGCGACAGAAAAAAGAATCAGGGCATATGCATGCAGCGCAGTGCCAGTGCACTGCATGCTTTGGTACACTCGCTAGACTAGAGTAGAGTAGCCTCTACTCCAGGCTAGATCTAGTCTAGTCTAGCCTCTAACTACGGTATACCAGGTATACCGTCTACATAGCACACTGCACAGTACCACCGCACCGGGCGGTAGTACATGCTGTAACATAGTGCTAGTGCTAGTGCCACAACAGGCTGTCACGTGTCAGTAGACGCTCCAGCGCTACCATGCAGTACAGGAAGGATAACGACTGGAGCGTGCGCCCGTGCACCAATGCCACCATACCGAAATCGGGCATACCACGATGCACCGCTGAGTGAGTGAGCTGGTCAGCGCCTCTGACATTGCGACAGGTAGATCTACCCGTTGAACGCAACTATGTCAGTATGTGTAGACTGAGTCACTGGTAGACCTACATGACTGTACTAGTACATGGTTGGTGTTGTTGTTCAGCAAAGATCTAAATCGGCGCAGTCACGTGATCAAGGTCAGCTATGTAGTCTGTGGGCGTGTCGCGCGACGCCCAGCTTTTTGGCAGTTGCAGTTGCGGAGGCTGGGCTTCCCCATGCGGTCGGTGCGGTAGGAGGGCTGCGACAGGCAACTACTTTGCTTTCATACTAATATTATCATGAATGCAACTCGTGGAAGACGAGTACGATCCAGGCAGTATAGTAGTACTGGTAGCATAGTATTTTACTACTCCCTGCTACGATCCATTC